TACAGAGAGATATGGAACTAGGATCTTCTCTAAGGGTCTTCGTTCAATTCATAGGATTGCATAGTAATTGGGTAATGGATGTCCAGTCTAACCGCATTCAAAGTAGTTGAATGTCACCCCGGGCAACGGATCCGTTGTGAATATTTCGGACCAAATCCGTTCCTGAGTGTAAGTCTATGAATACACTTTCCTGCCTTTTCCAGCTAGGACCTCCGCAAAGAATTTACGAAAGGATGTTGGTTGGAAGTCTGGATAGAGCTCTCTAGCATTGAGATAACCCAGATAGTCGGCATAGGGAGGACTATTATCCACCCGCACGTATTTGCTATGCTCATACTGGGCCACGAAAACGCCGATGCGCTTCATGTTATCGTGAGGACTCTCGGCGAGAGCGGCTTTGGCTTGCCTCACACTGGCTTCGATATCTTCATTTGATACCTAGACATTCGCTCTTAGTAAAAACAAGGTAGTAGAGACAAAGTTGACTTACGCGAGACGGCTCCAGCTTCTCTCCAGAGACCTCTTCCGCGATATGGTAAATTTCGTTCTCCGAAAGTACATCCCCGGCCGTGTAAACATATCGGTTAATAGTTCGGTCATCGAGTATGATTCGTGCGACATATCGCCCGATGTCACGTAGGTCGGTAAGAATATTAGGGGCTGCTCCATCCCCATGAATAGTCTTCACTGGAACTATCTGGGCGTAATCCACTTTTCCAGACGGGAGAGTCGGAAATGAGATCTGATACCAATAGCCAACATCGATCACGGTATAAGGAATACCCAAGTACTTGATGGCATTGTAAACTTCTTCTTTCTACTTGCCTGTTAGTCACCTTGGATTTTCTCTCATGAATTACGGCATTCATACCTCATCACGAAGCAGCATAGCGCCCGTTGGAGCTGCTACCGTGGTGAAAGCACAGGGAATGACTCTTTTGACACCTGCAATCTTCGCTGCTTGAAGTAGCTTCTTCTGCTGGAGCAAGTCATTGGGTCCAATAGCACTGATGAAAATATCGGTACCGGTCATAGCAGACACAAGCCTATTAAAGTCGTCAAGATCTACGGGCCAGATCGTAAGGCCTCGCTCTCGGAGCTTTTGGACCGACGGTTTATCTGCAGAAGCGGGCCGCGCTAAAACCTCCACATCCTAACCAAAATGAGAAATCAATACTTATCAACCACTGAGAAAGAATCTGCTGTATGGACCATTCGACATACGAAATTTCTAGATTCTTGCAGCCCATTCAGGATAGAGGCCCCAGTCTCTCCAGTCGCTCCAAGGAGTAGTACTTTCTGCTTGACAGCCATTGCACGTATTCGATGGGAAACAAGATATCTTCGCTAAAGGGAAGCAAATCTTGAACACCAAGACAGACGCAATTCTTTTATAGAACCTAGGTGGGTAGCCGATGAAGGATTTGGGGGTTTGTCCGGACTGTGGGGATTATAACAACCTTGGCATTTTAGTAAATCCCGACTTGACACATGCTGCGGTCTGTCTAGCTTCCGGGCCATTTCACGGAATTTGTGCATCCGATACATTACTAGTGACGTAACTTGGTACAAGGCGGAGCCGTTCAGGCAGTCTGTTACCCCATCTAACTCCTACAAAGTGGATGTTTTGATTGATTCCATCTGATAACTGTATAGTACAATAAATCAGTGCTCGCAATAATCGCTTGAGTCCCTGAGGAGGCATTTCTTTCTGAGTCCGACTATTCCGATTCCCTGTAATTGGATCTGTGACATTACAAAATAACTGTACTCGGATTATATTTTACACTATTCGATACATTTTTGTTACGTTCTTCTACGTTACTTGACCTATAACTATGTTTAGATTCAGGCTGTTAGGTGCTTTCAATGAGATATTATTGAGATACAATATCACCAGAAGGTATTTATCATACCGCATTACTGAATGGACCGGGATTGTAAAGGACAAGCGATTATGAAATCTGGTGCGTGCTTATAACGTAATCAACGGTTGGGCAGCCCATACGGTTGGGCGGCCCATCTGGTTATCCCATATAAAAGAAGTCATTTTGAACCCTTTATATCTCAACCACTACTAAGGTTGAATAGTTCTAACTTTACATATATATAATATATAGTAGAAAGATTGTTGTATATTTCCAGAATTTCAAAATTTTTTCTTATATAAAATATATTGATATATCTAAAATTACAGATAAAATACACATGTTGTATTATGATAAGATACTAATTATATTTATATAGATTTTTGAGGAGTATTAGATGGTTATTTATATTATTTATAATCTATTTATGCAATATTGAGTTTTTTAGACTTATATTAATTGAGTTACCTTGTGTTCAAAAAGAGTCTTTTCTATAGTATTACCAGATGGGCTGTCCAACCGTGTGGGCCGTCCAACTATTGATTACATTAAAGTAATTTCTATAGTTAATGTAATCAACAGTCAAACAGGCCACACGGTCAGGCAGGCTATCTGGTAATATTATATAAAAGATATCTTTTTAAACATAATATATCTCGACCACCCAGGTCTAGAAGAATTAGATTTCTTCTATATAGATTATAAATAATATAAAAACCCATCTAATATCCCTCAAAAATAAATATAATTTTATTTAGTATCTTATCATAATACAATATGTGTATTTTATATGTATTATATTAGAATTTATTTTTATTATTAAAGTAAAAGATTTAAAAATCTGAAAAAATGATGGAATACTTATTCTTATATATATAATCTATCTATAAAGTTAGAGCTTCATAGAAGTAGTACTGGTCGATATATAATAGAATTAAAAAGACATCTTTTATATGGGATTTCAGGATGGCCCGCCTGACTGTGTGGCCCGTTCAACCGTTGATTATGTTATTAGTAACATATTACACGGTTAACGGAAGTTCAGTATTGTATTTTGGGCTTCCGGGAAACAGCTCGGAAGGTAGACGGACCGCAGCATATCCCGAGTTGGGTTTCGGCCAATCGAACATTTGGGGTACATATTGAATCACAGAGCTGGCTTTCTGCCTTCGCGTATCTCTTCTGGCTGTCTACACTCTCCAGTTACACTGTAGATAATTTATGCCGATTCAGACTATCAGAGAAGTATTTATCACCCTCACAACAGCAAGGACCAGACATCACTCTGTCCGAATAATAACCGTCCTGGACAACCTCAAATCCCTTGAACTCGCCCCGGCACTAAATGTATACTCACCCCCATTAACAGCCCATTGTTGCGCCTCCACATCCCAAAACGACACATCCCGTCTGCGGATCGGAAACGTCACCGTCGACCTCTCCCTGCGAGCCAGCTCCACCCGCTCAAAGCCTCGAAGCTGGTGCACAGGCTGCTTCGCACTCTCGGGATATGATAGGTACAATTGCGGAATCTCAACTCTAGCACTACCACCGGTATTCGTGACGCTGACGCTGACGTTCGCGATAACGTCCCATAGGTTCACTGGTCCACCGACGGATTTCTTTCCTGCAGGGTAGACGGAAAGGGCTTCGATAGATGGGACATTCAGGTCGGTGTAGAAATTTTTGTCACACGGAAAGTGCACTCTTATCGCATTGATATGGACAACCAAGTGCAGCTTACCAATCGCAGAGGTAATACAAACTCAAACTACCATTCCTTTCTAAAAGTATAAAAATCAACACCTACTCTATCTACTCCTGTTCCGGGCATTCTTATCCTCCTTATCTCCCCCCCAACAACCCTTCCAGACATTCACATTCTCACCCCACAATCACCGCTTCGCCATCCCACACTTCGTCAAACACTCCTCCACCTTAATCGCCATATCCGATGGGATGGCTTTCCGAATCTTCTCAATATCATCCCCGGTAATACTCTGCCCAAAGGTCCGTGCAATGACCCCATCACTGAGGGAGAACAGTTGCTCCGCCACCAGGCTCACAGCGAATTCATCAGACGTAAACGCAGCGGTGAAGTTCGCTGGCTCGCAGTCCGGGTTCACTTGCGTGTGGAATGAACCTGCAGGGTAGATGGTCACTTGACCGGGGCGCAGGTCCGTCCGGATAACCCGCTGGCTGCTGTTACTATCAAGAACTCCAGCTTGAGGGACCATTTCGGAGAGAATATGGCCGGAATTTAGAGCAAATAGTTCAGTGGCGCGGGGGTGGAGGTGGAGGAAGCTCATGCTACATGCTATTTGAGGATTAGTTTTGGACTATTTGTTTGATTGCATTTTGATGTGCTGATGTCTTACCTGGAAGTTGTGACATGCTAATAGCGGCGCCGACATCGACGAGTGCTGGCCAGTTCTGGCTTGTGGCTACTGGGATCTGTTCCGTGCCGGTGAAGTTGAAGACAAAGTCGGAGTCATTAGGGAGCAGTTTGTAGCGCTCGATGGCCCTTGTATGATCATTAGAGTCAGATGATTGAAAGTTCGGAATTTGGATTAGGGCAGCGGTCTTACGTATCGGCAAGGCGAAGTTGAGCCGTCAAGCTGAGGTCGGAATTTGAGCGCTTAGCTACCGGGTGCGGTACTGCTCTCGCCTGGAGGACCAGAGCGAGTATGATCGTAAGATCGAAGTACAGAGAGAAAGAGAAAATCATTATGATGTCGTGTTGGTTTTGAGCTTCGAGTTCAATGTCTCAGGAGTAGGGTTGTAGAGCTGATAGATTGTGAAGATGTTGGATGAGGAAGTTGGAATTTCGTACAATCACGCAGGCTGTCGCTGAGATTTATATATTCATGGAAGGTCAAGAGGCTTTTCCTACGTTTTGTCATATTCTGCTACCACATACAAAGCCAAGTCCTAATCTTACACCTTTGATCTCCCTGAGTATCGATTCCAAATCTACACATCACAGCCACTGGTCTCCGAACCATACAAAGTTGTCGCCAAGCTCTCTGTTGGCTGGGCACGGCCACCCCGGCGTATTAGTAATACGCCGCATATTTCATCCATCAATATAACCATCACCTCGTGTTCATGCAGGGTCTTATGCGGGGAGGCGAAGTTCCCGCTGGAGGCCATGCACCTCGTACTCTCACTGCCCAACTTTCTTGGCGAAATCATTCTAGGGCCCGACTCGTTGTCTTCACGGCTGCTCGACTACTGAATAACTCTAATTTCACGGTTAATTACATCGAGCAGAGCCTCACGCTAGACTACCCGCCATGACAAACACTATTAGACTGATGTTCTGCACGGGCGACTTCTCCATTTATGAGGCTGAGTAAACTCAATCTTGTCTTGAGGACTCTTTACTAATACGCCCCAACCGCCCTTCTGGGAAGAATCCCGACTTCTACGGTCCAACATTGTAGCTTAGCGTGCCGTCGGCAATATGACCATCAATAAAACGCTCTCAGATCTCCAAGCGACCGGATATAGGTTGCGCAAGCCACATGAAAAGTCCCGCAATGGCTGTCTCAGGTGCAAGCAGTTACGCAAGAAGGTATTACACAATGCATATGCTGTGATTCCATCCTGCATACTTCAAAACCTTTGGTTCTGATCGTATCACCAGTGCGATGAAGCCAGACCGAAATGCTCGCGATGCACCAGACTGTCGTATACATGTCAATATCAACATCATCCGAGTGCCAGCGGATCGGATACAGAGCTGGGAGACTTCCCAAACTCCGAAATTAAATTCGCAGGATCCGAGTCAATAACAGGGCGTCTTCCGGGCCCCATACCTTCATCCACTGGCCAACTTCCTCTTTCGCCACAATCGAATTGCGAGGAGGATATCCTCAACTTGGATGTGCCCTCCCCGGATCCTCTCAATGCGACAGAGCTCAGTCTCTTAGCCCACTATCTTTCGCACACCAGCCAAACCATCCCGTTCGACTCCCTCGATCTCCACGCTCTATCGGTCGGGGTACCTAATCTCGCCTTCAAATGCAAGGCAGTCATGTCATCCCTGCTAAGCCTGGCGGCAGCATGCAAATGCCACGACATGGCACATGAACACACTCAAAAGCCCCTTGATAACCAAACCGTAACAGAAATTCAAGACCTCCTTGCGTTAGCCGAGCGCCATCATGCGGCATCCCTCCGCCACATCCAAACAACTATGCAAAAAGCCCGGGGCTACGATAACGTCCTCGCCAATGCAGCGTTGATGGTCTTGTACGCCTCGGCTAGTCACTCCATTCGCGTTCATTTAGCAGCTACAGCTAAAGTACATGGGCAACGGCTCCCAACCGAGCTATTACCGCAACATTCGCAATGGATTACGTTCACACGCGCAGCACATACCGCATCTAGCGCTATACTCAATGATATTGTCAACGCGACTGCTGCTGGCAGTATGGTGGATACGGGACCAGAGTCCCATCCGACAATATCAAGCCCTCTATCACCGCAAGACGGTCCATCTCCGACAACGAAGCGCTTATTTCTCCCGCTCGTGGCATCCACCTGTGATCGTGCTCTAAGAAGCCTCCGTAGAAGAGCAGAACGCACAACTGCTGTGCTGCTGCAAGCTCCTGCATCATGTAGCGCGATCGACCAACAACGGGCCCATGCATTACTCGAAACCATAAGTGTTCTGGAGAGCTGCGCATTGGCAGCGCGATCGCCGCGCGCAAGTGCCAATGGGAAGATGGTGTCCGCGACGTCTCCGAATACACAACATACAGCAGGGGTTGAGGGTTCCCGTGCTGTCTCACCATGGGTGGCTCGATACATGATAAATGTTACGTCAATGGAGGCGCCGCAGATTCTTAGGCGGATTATCATGTCTTTTCTCAATAAAGCTCCGACCGAATTTCTCAACATCGTGCAATCGGTTTTGGACTCTCCTACCGCAGAAGCTAGGAATAAAAGTACAACAATACCGGCGTCACCTACAAGCAGGCAGCTATTAGTTCTCACTCCGATGCATGTCCTGACTATGGACATCTTCGCTCATTGGCTGGTCCTGGTCATGTTATTAGATGGGGTGTGGTGGATGAGGGATATTGGACAGTGGGAGCTCAGCCAGGTCATTTCTATGATGAAGACACATAATGTCACTTCCCAGTTAGCTGACACTAACGAAATGTGGTGGCCGGAAAGTATGTACCTAGTCAAGCGAGAGCTTACGCCAGATTCCTAGTAGTGACAGGTGTTGGATTCCAGGGAATGTGTGAAAATGGTATCATATAAGTAGAGCTATTATATATTATCTGCACCACTACTGCAAACTAAATACAGAGCGTTAACCCATATACATGGTGAATTATGAAAGTTGGGTTGTCGTCATGCCTGACGGAGGCCTGCGTCTGGCCTATATGCATATCAGATGCGACTAGACACAACATTTATCTTCCATAAGTGAACGTTTTATGGACATGGTAAGATACATCTGATATTAAGATCAATTGAAGGTATGATAAGAAGGTGTATCTTATCTGGAAATGGTACACTGCAAACAATTCTTATATCGTCGTCGCTGAACGGTCAGGTCAAAACAAATCTATCCAATGACTAGGACCACTCCACAAATCGGACCCTAGTCAGCCATGCACCATCTGGTCCATTAGGCTTCGAGAGCAGAACAACCTGGCGAGTACTTCGAAGATCCTCCGGATGCGTACACGAAGGAATTGTTTCATAGATACGATCCCTATCCTCCGGGACCCTTTCTTGTACGTCCAACGATGACAAATTCGCTTCTTCTAGATCGATTACCAGTTGAGCGATTTTCACTATGATACGTTGATCCCATAGGCCCTCTTGTTTGGTACACCGACTCATCTGTCGGATAGCCTCGCGACGGATAATCGGGTCACGGCACCTGACTGCTGTGTAGTACAGTCCTGTGACGATACGTATTTCAAATGTGAAAATATCCGGGCCGCATTTCGTGGACTTGCGCTCAGTGACATCATCAATATCAATAAGTTGGCCGGCACAGTGAACAAGCTCCGCGAAGGCAGAGTTATAGTTGTCGAAAACGGTTTCCTGTCTGGCCAGACATGTTTCCGTCCATATCCATGAAACGAGATATAATGTACGCAAGAGCAACAGTTCGCGCTGATTGCCTTTCTGGGGGTTTTCTGCATCCTTTGTATAACCTTCCAAGGCCCTTTCCCATGTTTTGTAGTCCTTCCTGAGCTCTTCCTGTTGGGGCTTTAAGTGTGTGCGATCTGTGCGTTCAAATCCTGCAGAACGGACGAACATGAGTGTCTTGTTCATGAGCTTATAGAGTGCGTGTTGAGCCCAATAAGGGTCCGACCAAACGGGCCTTCCTTCTGAGCATCTCACTTGGGGATAAGTAGGCTTGATATCCAAGGCAACCATCGGCCGTCCGTTCATTGCAAGCTGGATATTCAGTCGAAGACTTAATTTCCACAATTCGAGATAAGTCGCGCCTAGTTTACTTCCCAGAGGTTGCAGTTTCCCTATGACGCTCTGAACTATCTTCAGGCTAGCTTCGAGGTGATCTAGGGCTTGCTTGTGATTACCGTTCAACATCTCCAAGCATACAAAAAGGAAACATGTGATGACCAGGAGATCGATTCTAGGGTTTTGCGAAACAAGATACGTCCTCAAATGTCGGATGGCCTCGTTATAATGAAATATAATGAAGCGGTCATTAGCGGCTCGACGCTCCGGAGTGGATGATGGATTCCGCTGTAGCACCAGCGCCCGCTCATGGGCCGCGCTTACTGCCGCCGTGGCATGCCTGACGACCGGCTCGCATTCGCTCAGTTGGGGAAGATGGTGCATCCAGAGATCAGACTCAAATACCCCGGATAGCGCGCGGGCCGTCTGTGAGCAGAAGAAGTACAAATAGTGCCGCTCCTTTTGCGTTCCTGGTCGAAGGACCATGCGATGATCGACGGTCATCATTGGCTTACTGGGGACGACAGGCTGGTGTTTGTTCCCCGGGCGTGATTCATTATATCCATCGCACTTTCTCCCTGTACGCTTGCACTGGTAGCATTCTGGCTTTTGTTCATCGCATTTGACATGTCGAATTCTGGATGATGGGCTGGTTAGTCGGACGATGCTCTTTAGGCGCCCAAGGCTCCGGCTTGTACCTGCAAGTGAGACACCCTGTCCTTGATCTTGGTCCGGATGCTCTTCTTCGCTTGGCCATCATGGAATACGAGGTTTCCACAGGATTAACTTTTGCCAAGCCAGAGGTATATCGGAGGACAATGAAAGCTTATCAGGTAGCAGGGATCCAAGCAACCCATGGCTCACAGCCTCGCCAGTCGTTGATCAGCCTGGTCATCGTCATCACCCCGCCTGCCGTTCTGGGCTAAGCTGATTACTGCCAGCAGAATCACACACCGCCTGTTCTCACAGTTCTGCCTGAGGCTGTTATCTGTTATCATATCTTGCGAAGCTAGATCAACTAGCAGTACAACAGGAAGTAGTAAATCCGACCATGGTTTGAATTTGATTAATTAATAGCGTCCAATCTCGTGGATAAGATGGCCAATACATCTGGAAGACACTCTACCAGGTGAGTTGTCAGGTTCTCAAATGGAGACCAAGATCTGCGTTTGACTGGAAGAAGCCCGAGTCACTTGTGGATGAGAGATGAGATTGAGTATGCCCTTTGTCATCGCGCAATATTAGACTATCAATTGACTAAAGCATAGTCACTTGGGCAGTGGTCTAACAAGCTTTGAGAGATGAGTAACAGCCATGCCGGATTCTTGATTACGTTATTTTACGTAATCACTGAGGAGAAAGACTGCACCTGTTGGAAGACAGTACACCAACACATCCTAAAATCCACGTGTACCCTCAGTATAAATTTGGGTGTATATGGGCTTTAATAGGGCGCTCATTAACTCAAAGACCATCATAGTCTTATGGTTGTTTCGCGATAGATTCGTCTAAGCATGTCTTGAGAAAACGAGGGCGGCCGACCTGGAGTTAGATTTGTCATCAAACCAGTTCACCTGACTCAGCAAGCCTCCGGACGATCCCAACCTACCATTTACCAAAGACAACCCAACAGAGTATATGCAAGGACAGGTATCACATCGCTCATCTAAGGCCATGGCCGTGAGGAAAACGCGTACGGGACGTCTTGCACGTGCTGCACAAGATGAAAGACATTCCGTTCGCTCATCCCTAGTGAAGTCTTCAAGGACCAATCCGACAAGGACTGGCCGTCAGGGGGTGACACTGCAAAGTCTCAACCAGTCTGACGAACCGCTCTTGCCAAGGTTGATGTCATGGTCCGACACCCTTGCAGCGGTTGGAGAGCAATCCCTTGAAACTCAGGTACAAAGATACAAAGAATGGAAACGTGAGTGCATTCCTTTTCGTCTATTGTCTCCTGGCGTCCCCCCTTGTGCTCACTTATGTCCCACAGGAAATGGATCGGCACACGAAGATTACTGCCGCGTTTGTCAAGCGCACGGGGGAAGACTTGAGCCTTGTTCAACCTGCCGGCTCGCGTTCCATGCCGATTGTATTTCAGCAGGTTGGCTGCGCGATTCCCAAGATTCACTTTTTTGTCCAATCTGCGTCCGTCGCGGTTGGCATATCACTCCTCCTACATTGTCACCACCAGCTTCACCACCGCCGGAAGAAAGGAATGATCCAACATCTGCTGCCGCTCCGACTACGTCAGCTCCTCACCCCGACACAAATTCCTCATCCAATACACATCCTCATAGTAGCGCCTCAGACGGGCCCTTGGGCGTCTGTTCAATACAACAAGCTCCAACGGGTGATAGACATGATGTATCAGCGAGTTGCCCTACTACTCCCAAACGACTGTATGAACTCCTTGGCAATGATGATGAAGCTACAGAAGGAAACGGGACATCTCAACGACCGCGACGTCAGCGCAAGTCTCGTTATACGAACCTGCCGACGGAAGTAGATACAGCCCTGTCAGTTCTATACCGAGAACTCGAGTCAAACGAATCCCTTAGGAGAGAAGTAGAGGAACTCCGAAGCGAGAATACCAAATGTAATCAAACTATCAGAATCCGCGATCTTAGTATCATCGCCTTACGCAGAGAACTGGATTATCGGCGGTCTTCGGCTCAGGAGATAGAAACACTGCGTGCAACGGCGACTCAACTCGAGAATGCAAAGAAGGAGATTCAGGAGCTACGGGCAAGGAACGAAGCCCTCAGTGCGGAATTACAAACTTCGAGACATGAGACAGCGGAAGCTCAGGCTCTCGTGCGGGATTGGAAAGCTAAGCTTTCACAACTCATTGGAGATTGAACTTTCTTTTCTTGCATCAAGTTACTAGCGCTCTAATCCATCATACCAAATCATTTCTTGTTTCACTCCTTATCTACTTCCACATATAGCCGCATTCATATTGCCACTCTTTCAGATAAAGTCGAGATCTGCAGATAAACTTGCCCCGTTGATCTGACATGACGAAAGAGACGAAAGAAAGAATCCCACATTCTCAACTAACCCCCAACCAGAGCCAAGAATGCATCGCATTTACTTCCGACACTCACCCAACTGCTCACCCACACAATCTTCACGCCTTCACATCCATTCCCCACCCAACCTTAGCCACCCGCGCCGCCGCAACCGCACACGCACCCAGCAGAATGCTCACACCCGCGAAAATTTGAGCCGCCATATACCTACCTCCATCAGTAGCGATCAACGCCCCTTGAATAGCTGGCCCAGTCAGCGTCGCAAATCCCACAATACTCATGATCATTCCCAGCCTTGTACCAGTGCGATTGAGATCCGGCGTCATGGTCGTTGCCGTGGCGGGAATGAGTGATTGCGCGGCCCCGCCGACAATTCCATACACAACAGCAAATGCATACAGCCCTGCAACAGTACTAACAGCTATCCAGCAGAATATCAAAACTGCACACGAAATACTGATGGGGATTAAGAGGTTCAATCGCCCTGTCCATCGATCACCAATAATACCCGGCGCGATACGTCCAACGATACCAACTCCATTCAACACGAGGATAAGATTCTGTGTATCCTCGACGCCGAGACAGTCTCGGGCAAAGGTGCCAAGGTAAAACCAGGCGAAATACAAGCCCCAGAAGTTGAAAAAGTAGGCTAGCGTGAAGAAGATGAAAGGTGGTTCAGCGAATGCGCCAATCTCGATGAGGGGGCCGGTTGTCCGAGGGGGAAGACGGGGTTTGAAGAAAACAAGACCGAAGATCTGAGTGATCAGCATGAGAAGCCCTGCTGCACGGATTGTCCATCCGAATCCTATCTGGTGGTTATATAGCAATTGGTTGATGAGGACTGGGTATATCAGACCCCCTGTTGCAGCGCCAGAAGCTGCCAAGCCCACTGCAAAGGCTCGGTTTTTCATGAAGTAGGCGGACATGACCGAAAGTCCGGGGTTGAATGTAAGTCCATTGCCGAGACCCATGCATACCGCCTGAGCGAGAAATATCTGCCAGTAGGTTTTGCACACAGAGAGCGTGAAGAGCCCCACGAGCTGAAGGAGGACCCCGAGTGGGTACATGATTCTGAAGTAGCCGGCGTCTGTTGCGCGTCCGGTAAGGGCGCTCATGAAAAAGAGGAGAGATACCTGAACGCTGCCGATCCAGGCGATGGACGATGCTGACTGCGGTAAGGTTTGGGTATATAACTGTTCGAAGACGGAGAAGCTGGTCGTAATTCCCCAGGAGTTGAAGAATACGAAGTGCATGCACACGACTTGGGTCCATGCTTGGAGTCCTCCATCTGGTGGTGGTGGTGGTACGTGTTCTGAGCCATTGCTAGGTTTTCGACAAGATAGGAAGCTGTGTAGCTTCTCTGTCGTAGTTGTATGCATTGTGGACTTGGGAAAGCAGTTTGGTGGGCGGAGATGTGTAAGCAGAAGGTTAGAGGGTCTCAGAACAGAAGAGCTCAGGTAGGGGGTTATGGGAAGTGGAGAGGCTTTGTCTTCAGCCCAAATGTTCAGCCCAGGGCCATAGCTGTAGGGTGATGTGGGACGATTACCAATCACCCACAGACGACGCGAATGCCTCGGTTTCCTACATGGGTACTACTACTATGTAAGATTTGTCACGTATGATTGCCGATACACTTGCCGTTGTCGTTACGGGAGCTGGATAAGAGCTTGAGTTTCAGTGTCGATCAGTCTGGAATGTGACGGCCGACGCACTTTATCTTTGTTCTTAATTGACCCCTTGGTTCAAACAATTTCAGGATTATAATTTAGTTAAACACGTATAATGGTCCGTGACAAGGCGCAACCAACCATTCCCTTTCCGAAAACAAGCTGTTCCGAACCATCTTAAACAGGCCAGTAGGATATGTGTACTGCTTAGGCAATACTACAGCTCAATTGCACGTCCGTCATGCTATAAGACCTGTTTGTACATAGGATATAGCAGATCTACATAAAACCAAGAATCACAAAGAGCCGATTCTCAATACCTGTGCGACTATTAGGAACGGTTCTGGCTTCGATACTCTCAGCGATAGCCGACAGCTAGTGTGTAATATAACAGCGCGGTTGCCCGAGTTGGGCTTCGGCGCGCCGTTCTATAAAGATAGTCCCATACAAAAGGCTATACATTTCCGTGATCGGGCCCATCAAATCGAGCATTATATTAAAGCTGCTCTCCTCACCTCTCGACAAAGCCTGCTGCAGCATGTATTACCCGGGAAACTAGAAGAAGTACAGTACTATGCAATATCGAACTTGATGGATAATCATCCTGCGCGTTGGAAGTCATGTGACTAGCACAGCTCCTGCTGACAAATTTAAGGGTCCCTCGGCAATCCATTCCAGCGCAGTTGGCACATTTTTTCCAGCTTTAACGGGAAAAGGCTGTCTTATACGACACATGTTTAGGAATATTCTTGCAGAATATAGTATTCAATCAATGCAAAAGCCAATCTTCTCGTCAAGTAAGTAAAGGCAGTCATTTTGTATAAAGCGCCTGAAATCTACGAGTTGGTCTCCCCAGTCGACACATACTTGCTTACCAATCACCCGCAAAAGCAAGGGACTGTAACGATGAACAAATATTACACGTATCAACCGCGGTTGCAATCAAGCCGATAGAAAACTTCGAATTGTACAGTGTTCGCAATTTTCTGCACTCCAAATCTGCCAGTAACTGCTCAACATGGTATGTGACGCGTAACGGTATGCTAGTTATCCTTCAAGAACCCGTTCCCTTCAGCTATAGCCTAATCACTCAGACAACCGCCCAGCTTCCTTCATTGCCGCCCTGAATTCATCTTTCATCTTTTGAGCAAAATTATCATTCGTCAATACATCCAGAGTAATGAGCGCGTTGGCCTTTCCAGCCCGAAGCGCCTCTGTATGCGCAACATGACCTTTTGCGGTCTCGAGGAAACCAATGGAGTGTGGGAGATCAGGTGCTTTAATGTCGAAGAAGGCTTGGATGCCCGGGCAAATGTACGAGCAGCTTCCGAAGTCGCTATATCGTAGTTAGCTTCTGCTGGACATGCCAAAGGGAGGAAGGAAAGACGGACGAGCTTCCTGCCGAGTCATGCACTGTTCTAGCTTCTTTCAAAGGCACCATCTGCTCTGGTTGTAAGCCCAGATGCTGCAGCATATATTGTCTGTATTGCTCTGCGAGAGTATCGTTTGTCACCACGTCCTCGTAGAGTGCAAACCTGCCACAGTTAGCACAACGATCACTAATATCACACCAAACTAATCAGAACAACCAATGGGAAAAGAAAGAACACTCACCACTCCATCTCAACTCTACACCCCGTCGCCCCCGCCGCGCCATGAAACACCCCCTCAACCCTCTCCCTCAACGCCTCGACCTCTTTAACCGTCTCAGCCCGGACACTAAATAATCCCTCCGCATAATCTGGGATCAAATTCGCCACCTTTCCAGCCTCCAGGATACACCCCTGAATACTCTCACTTTTCTGGATATGCTGTCTCAACAACGCAATCCCATTATATGCCTGCACAATCGCATCGCACGCATTTATTCCCGTCCAGGGGCCCGCCGCCGCATGTGCAGACCTGCCATAGAACTTGGCGCGCAGTTTCCATGACGCCTTAGTACAGCATACCGGAGTGCTAAAATCTGCCATGCCGTGCGTCATCACGCAGGAGTCGAAGCCCTTCCATGCACCGTTCTGTGCCATCAGCCATTTACCGCCTTGGGACTCTTCCGCCGGGGTACCCATTACGACGACGGTGCCGGGGAGGTTGTGCGTTTTGATCATGTGTTCGATGGCGACGGCGGAGGCGAGGGCCGAGGTTGCGATTAGGTTGTGGCCGCAGGCGTGGCCGATGTTGGGGAGGGCGTCTATTGGGGGTGGGGTAGGTGGTTAGTGTGCGTTGTAGTTGAGGGTAGCGCATGAAAAAGGGTAATTAATTGAAAGTGCACCATATTCTGCATTGAAGCAGACGGTTCGACCGCCCTCTTTGACGGAGAATCGTGCTTCAAAAGCGGTTTCGATCCCGTAGACACCGCGCTGAACGGTCCAGCCGCGGTTTTCGAGCCAGTCAGAAAGTAGTTTACTTGCTTTGACTTCTTGAAAAGCGATCTCAGGGTTATTGAATATCTAGTCGTTTTGAAACCGTCAATATTGTTCGGAGTGAACCGTATGGTGGAGTAGTGACCTCGAGATTCAGCTTGCGTAGCTCCTCGCTGGCATCGTCGATGACCTTGCCTATTTCGTTGATCACCTCAATCGATTGGAGAGGGTAGCTGGGTATCTGTTGAGCCATTTTTATTAGAGTCTGCACGTATTTTTTCGTCCGAATCGATTGAAGTAGAATAGGTTGTCTAGAGGCTGTTGGTTGACTTTATAGCTGCATCATCGCGAGCGGGGAATTGCGGGGAAGCCAGCGGAAAGTCAAGGCGATAAGACCGATAAAGCCTGATAACCGCGTGGCTTATCTGATAGATGGCCAGATAACAGAGGCTTGCGCGGGCCGAATGCCGATGGTTCCGCTATCATCAGCAGAAAATTATCAACATGACAGCTGGCCAGATTGAGTGAATATTCGAATATTTCTGAATAACAGTAGACGCTTGTCTGAAAACAGTCATACATCATGGTCAAATTTTAGAATCGTTGTGGGTATAGAATATGCCGTTTGCTATCAAGTAAGCAATGGGAAAGGACTATGCAGCTACCATGTCTTATGGAACGTGAACCATTTTCCTTCTGAACCCCGTCTCTGCTCTCCAGCTGTTCTCAACAGTATAGCAACTTTTTGATACGAGACATCTTTGCATTGTATCTTTGTCACCCGATGATCAGCACACACCCATGGTCCCTCACTGCACGACCCCGGTGGGGAAGTCTGGCATGCGGTCCTTTCGAGTCCAGTAAGCGTCTCCCCGAGTTTCAGAGCTAACATGGTACCGCACATGCCTTCGCGACGTGGGTAGAGTCTCATGAGTTCCAGCGCCCGTTCTCGAATTGTCGGTTCACGGCAACGAACCCCGATCAGGAACAGGGTCTCTGTCACTGTACTCTCTACACTGAAGTGCTGTTTTGCTGGTTTCGAACCTGTATCGGACTTTTCTGCCAAGGGGTTGTTCAAGCCTTCGAGAATGCTGCTTGCTAGATCAAGCATCTGCGCGTAATCCTCGATAAACTCGTCGTGGGCGAGGTCGCCCTTCGTTGGGTCTAATGACAGCATCACTTTGGCGTAAGAACGGCGTAGGTAGAGAACGTTCGCGGCTATGGTGCCCCTTTCATGGGGTGAAACGGCAAGATATGTTTCCAGTTTAGATTTCCACTGACGAAACTCATGAAGACAATCATCCTTCTTCGCAAGCGCTTCAGGTGCAGATATATCAATGCCGCTTGTAAGAAGCTTCAATGCGTTGTTGTTGACCTTGACCTCCAGGGAGACGTGTGCTTCATCGAGGGACGTAAAACACCCTTCAAAGGCAGGTAATTCGAATTGGGTTGTCCAAGGCACTGGCAATCCTTGAACTAGAAAAATCTGGCGGACCTGACTGTCGAGTTGGGCTAGAAGAAGTATCACGGAAGATATAGCCTCAGACGCATGGGAATGGGTCTGGAAATCTCTATTCCACTGCTGACATAAAACCATAGCGCTGGCAACATGTGCCATAGCCTGTGAATGAAACCCCTGCAAGCTTAGTAGGCAGATGAATATCACACATGTCGCTAAAATGACCATTTTATCGTGTGTTGTCAAACGCGGCTTCGACGTCAACTCCCGTAAGGACTGTATGGATTTGGTATGTTGCTGTAGGCCCAATCGCACCCTGGCCGTACTACAAGCCCTTGTGATTGCAAGTGGCGCCACATCCTCCAGGAAGTCTCTATGCAAGGAAGCCAGCGCGGTAATAGCATGCCAGAGGGCCGGATAGGAGTAAGAAACCTGCAGCAAGGTGTATGACCAAAATCCCGAATTGAAAAAACCTGTCAAGGTGGGAGCAGTGACTACTTGAAAGTAGTGAAAATGTTCATGGTCTATTGGCTTATCGCCAATAAAGCTCCACGCCGATGGTACCTGCAGCATGCCATGTGGTTGGGCTGACTCGGCCTTGCGGCGGATGATCTGCTTGGCGCGCGGGTCTTGGTATCCATCGCATTTCCGACCAGTAGATGTGCATCTCTGACAACTATATTACGGGCGTGTCAATGGATACGGTTCAGGCAAGTGAGTCGATCTTACACACCTCGGCTTGGTTTCGTCGCATTTGACATGCCGGATTCTGTCGAGTCAGTAATTTCACCCACCCGTAAATGACAGAAGCCGTTATACCTGCAGGTTATGCACCCTGTTTTCGTCCTTGTGACCCATCGCTTCTTTCGTTGTTTACCAGATTGGTTGAGCCGTGAAGCGAGCTCCTGAGGAGATGCTGATGACATTGGGGACGACGAGAAGAATTTGGGGAGTAGAATTGAGCACAGATTATACGCTTTTAGACGAGGCAGCCTGTGGGATGAGGAGTCAAAATGTCAACGGCACAACTCTAGCATTAGCTGACGTGCAGGCGCTGTTTGCCGAAAGGATGCAGGCGCCGTGGGGGCTAAACCGTCGCATCACGTGGGCGCTATCTTCGTTAATCAGCTTACGCTTCACTACTCAAGTACTTCTTAACCAACTTTGCTGGCAAATATTTAGAGTAGTACATATAATATCTGGCTTGTCTCTATTTAGTCAAGTATATTGATAACGAACCTTCATCCATCTTATGATATAATTCACTACTTACAAGGTCCCCACACTGTCCTAAAATGAAAGGAATTCTCTAACACAGGGTCTCTACCGTAATGTATTCCGCGCAGATCCTATGATCACATAATAGTTTAATTCTGAGTTGAGATGATTAATTGGGCCACCCGCGAGGAGGTAGGAACAGCCCTATAGCTCTATTGAGTCATGTCCGAGCCATGCCGCGCGGCAAGTGGGTTCAGCATCTGCGGTGGGATCTCGGCTCCGAACCGAAACTGCAATCCCACCCGAGCTGCTCGGCGTTAAGATGGCTACGAGAACCCTGGTAGTATCCACCTCATAGAAAGTGGGCCGATTGTCAGTGGAAGGCGCTGCTGCCACACAAGCCAGGCTTCCTCCACACCGGCCTTCGCTTATGCTATATTCTCTGTCCATTTAAGAAAGATAATATTTACGTAAGATAAGACTTCGATTTATAGAAGAGGCAGAATTTTATCATTAATTCTCTTCAGAGGTTAATTCTTAAGATATTAGTTTAGTATCACAAAAAAAGAATTATCTAATCAAGAGGACGGTGAGGAATATGGTAAAACCTTTTTGAAAACAACAGCTCTTGTCTTCTTAAATAACTGGAGGATATGGCACGAGTGAATACTGGCATAAAGAAAGCCTGGCTGGTATAGCAGTAGTATCTGTCTTGTTAATATGTTCTTGAAGGATGAAGTGTACATAGAAGCTTTGGTAGGAAGCCTCATAGAAGACGCGGCTTACAGTGGGTTACAGGAATACTAACACTGCCATGTTTGCCAAAAAGGCAAAAGAAAAAAAGAAAGATAAAATAAAATAATATAAAAGGATACATTTTGCGTTACTTGAAGGTGGTGGGGAAACCAATAAGTTATTCGGGGGGATGTCTACTATAACGGACTTGATTCGAGTGGGCTACAATCTGGCTTAAGAAGAATTTAGATCAGAAAGGAGGCACCCGTGCGTTTCATATTAGCATCGATGGCATTTATCTCCAATGATTACAAAGATTGGCTCAACTGACAGGATAAGTGATCGACAAGAAAGATACATAAACACAGGAGACAAAGAAATGGATACAAGAAATGATTCAAGGTGGCATGTTCTACACAAAGTGATTCTTGATGACCAACCCAAGCACTAAGAACGACCCTAGTAAGGAGTCTGGGCGGCAAAGTAATCCAAGATCAACTGGACACGCTCAGTTGCAGCAGTATCCATGGTCTCGTACACAGCACCGACCAAGAAAGTCTCGTTCTTAGACGGAGAGTTGGCATTCCACTTGGCAGGGAGGGTTCCATTGTTGTAGGAACCGCCGGTGTTGGGGTTACCAGTCTTCATAAAGTTGGCCCAGTAGCTGCTCATGACATTGGCCACGTAGTAGTCCTCCTCGGAGTAGTCCTCGCCCTGGGCCCACAGGTTGTTCAAGACGTAGATGATCTCAGAGGCATGGGCAGCGCTACCGTAGTTCCAGTAGTAGGTGTAGGTGTCGACCTGGTCGGCAGAGTTGGAGAAGCCGTTCATGTACTGCCAGCTACTGACACGGAACATGTCACGGACGATCTGGTCCTCCTGTTCGCCAGCCTGGGTGTCGTTATCGGCGGGGTAGAGAGCCCAGAAACGAGGTGCGAAGTCGCCATAGCTGGAGTTCAGACTAGACTTGTATGCCGCGACGGTGGTGCTGACAGTGGCGGAGGCTCCATCCTCGTTGGCGTTGTTTCCGGTAATATAGGGGACCTTGTTGCCGGCACCGTTCTCGAGGGTGTTGATGTATTTGGATGGGATGGCGTAGTAGTCGAGAACAGGCTTCACCTCCAGACTGTAGGTGCTGGTCGAGTCGAGCAGGGTAGTAGTGTCAATGGCGCGGGCTTCGGCAATGGAGCTGACGTTAAGGGAGGAAATAATCTCCTCACCCATGGTCTCGGCATCATCCAAGGTAGTGTAGGCGCATTCGTAGACACCAGTGTTGGGGTCATTGGGAGAGCGAACACCGGACTCAGAGATAGCGTTGACGATACCCAGATCAGCAGTCAACTCGCTGTTGACAATGTGGTAGGCGGCCGCAGCGCCGAAGGACTGGCCGATGACGGAAATATGATCAGGGTCACCACCAAACGCCGCAATGTTCTCGTGGACCCATTTGACCGCTGCATACTGGTCAAGGACACCCCAGTTCCCTGAAGCATTGCGGCCGTTGGTCTCGGTCAGCTCTGGGTGCGCCATGAAGCCAAACACACCGTTGCGGTAATTGTAGGAAACGAAGATGATCCCCTTGTCAGCCACACCCGCACCGTTGTAGGTGGTTTGCGGGGGCGCCGTTCCAGCGCCATAGCTCCAGATGGCCACAGGAAGCTTCTCGTCAGGCGAGGTAGCAGGGGTCCAAATGTTGAGGTTGAGGCAATCCTCACTCTGGGCGTAATCCGCCAGGATAGAGAGAGTGATAGGGCAGATGGCACCGAATTCAGTTGCATTGAGAGTGCCGTTCCAGGCCTCGACAGGCTGGGGATCACGCCAGCGGTTTGCGCCCGAGGTATCAGCACCGAAAGGAATACCTCCAAAGAAAGAGATGTTCTCCCAGTTGGAAATGTACTCGGACACGCTGGAATTGACAGCAGCCTTTCCCTGCACGTAGCCGTAACCGGGGATGTTGACGGGCTTTTTATACAAGGGCTCGGCCGCGACAGCAACGCCATTCGCCAATGCGGGCGCAAGCACCAAAGTTGCAAGCTTGGGAAGCATGTTGGAAATGAATGTGGGAAGTACAAAGGGAATGTTCTGATGATGGATGGATCTGGCTGAAGCAGCGGGATTCGCTTGCTATTTATTAATCCTCAAAGTCGAACCTAAAAGCATTTATTCTTCAAGGTCTGAGGAGGCGTCACCTGAATTAAGCCAGGTTCGGATTTAGCCAAGTTTCGGATTTATCAGGACTACGACATCAATTGCGTGAACTTTGCGCGCGATTTGTGGCTCGTTGTGTAATAAAACCAATTTAGATGCGTGGAAACTCCTTCCGCATTACCCTGGCTTGTATCCGTGGCCAGCAGCATCAGGGCTTCTGAGGAGACTCAGGTCTGAGCTTACGTACTCTTGCTCCACAAGCAGTCAACAGGTACCACGCCCAACATGAACTTAGTAGTGATTTAAATTTGGACCCTCATTCCTGTAGGGGCTAAGAGTCGGACATCGGAGGTTAATTTAAGGTCCGAGATACGGGTTCGCTAAACACTGAAACGTCTCGGCCCTGCTAGGACCGTCGCTGTCCGACATGACTAATATCGACTCCACACAACACATTCAGCCCTTCTTTAAGCAGATTCTGCTCTATACGGAACATCTATTCCCTTCGAAATTCCAGACATACTACGTGATAGTGTTTCATGTGTCATAGGACGCAATAGAGAGTTGCTTCTTATGAAGTATCTTTGAGTTCCCGAAACACCAGTTTGTTCCATTCCAAAGATCCACGGATTCGACTTCGGGTACAACTACTGTTTAGAGAAACCAGCCCGGAGTGACTTATTGATATATAGACTGCAGGTGGAGCTTCGCAGGATTGGTTCTGCAGGAGTTGGAACCCGCGTCAAACACTTTGAAGCGGGGTTTGAAGATCCTCACTGAACCAAGGTTAATTGAACACATGCGTGGCGGCCAGCGGCATATGCCTTGATACAGAGCGACGCTTGGGTACATACCGCTGTTGGGGGGGCTCAATGTAAGACGGCAAGTTAGATTTTTGTCACCGATGTCCTATTCTGTCAACAACAAGCAGATAGCATCTTTCACGGGAAAGCGGCCAGCAATCCCCATCTAGGGTACTGGATTTTCAATCTAAGGCGGAATAACTTTAAAGAGTACAACAAGCAGCCAGGCAAGTACAATGAGACATTCTCTTATAACATGTGAGGCCACCAGGGGGAGAGGTCGTGCTCGTGGATGGCCGGAAGATACCTTACCCCCATCAAGGCCATGCGCTTCCTTCGTCTCGGAGCACTAATTTATCTGGCATGCCTTTTGATATGACTAGGCCAGTTTCTGAGCCATACGCTCTCCCTTACTGGCTTACTGGTCTTAGCACATCTTGCAAGAAGTGCCTAGAGACAGCTCAGCGCTCTCTCGTATCATCGCTAGAGGTTCGCGGTTTGAAAGCTGTCATCATTATAGCCATTGAGACTCTATTGCAAGTATTTGCTTGTATTAGCAACAGTCAGGTACACTTTATATCAGTCAAGTAGTGGCGTCCCACGTCAGGCATTCTAAGCTTTTTGCTAGTCATGCAACCATGGCTTATAAACTATAGTGGATACTGCTAGGCTGTGGTTACGACAACATCATCCCGGCCTTCATCAAATAGAGTCTTATACTCCTCCTGATCATTGTTTCGCAGCTTACTGGCAATATCCCGGGTTGTCTGTGGGCTACGTAGAAATTTTGTATATCTAATGCGAGAGTTAGCAATCGTTTGCTTTTCTCCATTGGTAGTATGCCGAACGATCTGAATGCCATCCCCTGACGATAATCTTTCTTTCAGGTCATTCTCGCATTATGGTACCGTATATCCCGTTATTCGCATGTTCAGCTGCAGAACATCAGCGCAGAGTTTCTCTCGACAATATAGATAGTGATTCTCCAATCTCTAACTGTCTCCCAACTCCATCCTCCTTGAATTTTACTATGTCACCATCTGTCGCGAATGACCGGAGATGATGTCCCAATATAATCAGAAGCCCAAATCAAATAGTGATAGGGCTGATGGCTCATTCTTGGCACCTTGGCACTACATATGAACTTCATCAGGTCAGTCGCTACGTGGTGACACTAGATAAAAGCTGATAAAGTAGTTCCTCTCTCCCATGCAATGACCTCGCAACTTTCTTCTGATTAACGCTTGAGAATCACCCATTGTCAGAGTCCCTTTCTTTATTATCGGCCTCCTTACACCCCCTAGCGTGTCACCGCTCTTATATGTCATCTATTGGGAATGGTCTTCTTGTGGGTCATACATTGAATGTGATTGGGATGCCAATAGAACGATGCCTCAAGATGGGAGATCAGACGTCCCCGTGAGAATTAAACTTATTCTATTTGACATGTACATGCCTCTTAATCTGGTGCTATGAAAATTGGGGGAAGGAAACAAAATGTGTGGGTCGGAAAAACGCCGGTGGTATCATGTAATACAGAATTGTTCGATAACCGATAATTCAGTTAATCAAAACCCATTCAAATAAAAGAATTATCGCAATTGCGAATCGATCATATGTCGGTAGAACCTTCACGGGAAAACTTTGGCGCTCCTTTTCCCTCAGCTCTGCGAGTACATACAGAGCTCTCGGGGGCCACAGCCGAGGGAAAGCTTGAGGATCGGCCGAGAGCCGAACAATAATACAAGCAATTTCCCCAACACGTGGGGACCTGCTGTCTAAGCTTAAACCGTGAAAAATCCATTGTTTATTCACAGGCATTATGTAGCCTAAATCGACTATAAGCGTTTCGTATACGATCTGCATCTTCTCCAATTTGGGGACCAAACTTTTACAATTGTATCCTGCCGCATATGGGCCCTGAATGATACGACTTTGTAGCAGAATTACTATTTTGAAGCAGATTATTTTACCCTTATAGTCAAGTTCTTGCATTTCCCCACCGAGCATGAATTCCTTGCTCATAGTAAGTCTATTATAGCGGCACGGTTCAGGTGGAGAGCGGCAAGGATGACGTCGCACTTCTCGAACCCCGCCGTTGCATCAATTTCATTGCTGTTCTATCCACATCCTAGTATCCTTTGGTAGTCCTATGCATTCTAGGAATTGACGATTCATCTTTTTCACACATCGACAGCAATTTCCTATACAGGGTCGTTAGCCACATTGATTGGATCAATATGGCAGCTTCGCAATCAGGACTTGAGTTGCCATCCTCTGCAGAGACCGTCTCGGTTTCTCTCATTGACACGTGTGGTCTCTAAATACCCTTTATCATCCTTCTACATCACTAATCAGGTACATAGTGGTGCACGTCTTGATCTTCCCGCAGAGAAGTTCATGAACCCCAAGATTCCAGGCTATGACCGACTGGCGGTGCCATCATATTCTTTTCTGATCACTCACCCCTCCGGCCAGAGACTATTGTTCGACCTCTCTCTCCGAGAAGACTTTGAGAACCTCGCTCCGCCTTTTGGAGACATTTGCACGAACCCAGAAAGTGGATGGAAAGTCTACTCTCCCCGCAGCGTCTCTGACCTTCTCGTTGAAAATGGCATCCTGTTGGAGGAAATAAATGCTATAATTTGGTCTCATCACCATTTTGACCATACTGGTAACCCTTCATTATTCCCCGGCACTACAGACTTGGTCGTGGGGCCGACCTTCATCAGCAGATTTGCACCAGGGTACCCGGAAAAGCCAGATGCGCCAGTCAGATCATCCGACTGGAGAGGACGGTCACTGCGAGAGATGGACTTTGACCAACACCCGGGGAAGGTAACGATTGGGAGATTCAAAGCAATCGACTGGTTTGGCGATGGGAGCTTTCATCTGCTGCATACACCAGGACACAGTCCAGAACATATGTGCGGCCTCGCGAGAGTACAACCAGATTCGTTTATCCTGTTGGGAGCGGTAGGTCTTCCTTCTCTACTTTCTATCAATGCTCTTCTGTATAGTGAAACAGCTAAACTCACTGAACACATCGCCAGGACTGTGCACACCATCCCGGTGAATTTCGACCCACCAAGCAGAGTCCTATCCCGGAGATCATTCAACCCTCCCCCTTGCCGTCTCATCCGCAGTACGGGACAGTCTGTCCTGGTCATATATTTGCCCAGCTAGGGTACAAGCCAGGAAGCACCAATACGCCTTTCTTTATATCTACTCCAGACTATACTCATGACGTTGATGAGTGCTGTCGGTCAGTAAATGGAATAGCGGAATTCGACGCTAGTGATCAGGTTCTGGTCCTTATTGCACATGACCACACCATGTTATCCATCTTCACGGGCGAGGAGGATGGTGGCATTGGCTGGTTTTTCCCGAAAATGTCGTTAAATGATTGGAAGGACGCTGATTTAAAGAAAAAGGGAAAGTGGCTGTTTCTAAAAGATTTCGAGGTCCCTTCTACTGAGAGTTGATATTGATTCACGGCGATCTTTCAAATCGTTATGAAGTAAATTTTGGTCATACTTACTGCTGTTTTGTTAGTATCCAACGACACAGTGCTAATATTCCCAACAATAAATCACTCGTCAAATATAGAAAATCAGCGTAATCGTGCCCTCCTGCAGGGTGCAACGGCCGCTTTAGTGACACTCAATTTCTTCGAAAGTAGTGCATGCAGGCCTATGAACATTCGCCCCCGACAGCATTCAATATACCATGCACACTACGAGAGTCATGATCCCCATATCGATTAACTGAGTGGTACATACATCTACCATATAGACACAGCCTGCGCCATTTCCGCTGTTCTACCAGACCGAAGACTCACAGGTCTCCGCAATATTCCATGAGGATGCGCGACGCCAAGATGCCTCTGGTCTCGGAAACGTACAAACAACGCCTATGGTTGGAGTATTGGAGAAATTGGAGTTGGAACTTGGAAGACGCTGGAATGTCTGACAAATACAATCCCCAAACTGGAGTAACTTGGCGTCAAAGTTTTCCGAGACCTCGGACAGACACTCCAAATCTCCGAGGACGGTCCACCATGCTTACGAGAAAATTCGGCAAACCGCTTCCGAGTCCGAGGCAGGCACAAAATATTTGCCAAATCTGGAATTTGGAGCAATACTACTTACGTCACAGCCAGTGATATCATATCGGTAGAGTATACATTCACCGATCAATTCAACTTCATTCAAATCCCTGTCCTACCTACCATCCATACATACATAGCTTTTGACATTGCATTTCATCAATCAAGATAACTATTAGCCATGTCGAGCCTGAATTTCTCCTGCGCCCTCGTCACCGGCGGCGGAGGCGGTCTCGGCAAGGCAATCGCTTCCTATCTCCTCGAACAGGGCAAGAAAGTCATAATTGCTGGTCGAACCGAAAGCACACTACGCGAAACAGCGAAGGAGATCAGAGCGACCGATTACTTCGTCCTGGATACGGGAGTCACCTCTCAAATACCGACATTCATTGAATCCCTGATCAAAAAGCACCCCGATCTCGACTGTTTGATCAACAACGCCGGCGTTCAGCGGCCTCTGCAAGTGCTAAAAGATAATCCAACAGAATTCCTCACCAAGGCCGACCAGGAAATCGACATCAACATCCGAGGACCCATGCACTTGACTCTGGGGCTGTTGGAGGACTTCAAGAATAAAGAAAGCGCTATGATCATGAACGTCTCTTCCATTCTGGCATTTGTTCCATTCTCGGTGATTAATCCTGTGTATAATGGCACGAAAGCGTGGTTGCATTTCTGGTCGATGAATTTGCGGTCGCAGTTGGCGAGCGGCGGGTTTGATAAGATTAAGGTGGTTGAGGTTGCACCGCCGTCGGTGGGGACGGATTTGCATCGCGACCGGGAGGATCCCGATGATAATAAGAAGCATAAGAATCCTAATGCGCTCACGGTGGAGGAGTTTATGGATTTCTTCAAGGAGGGGTTGGAGCGTGGGGATGCGGTTATTGCTCCTGGTATGAGTCGCGAGTTTGTGGATAAGTGGGAACGGGAGTTTGGGTCCGCTTATGTTAAGCTTACGGGGGGTAAGTAGGTCGATGTGTAGCCAGTTTTGGTTGTTATATCCTTATGTTTGGTTGCTTGTAAATGGCCATTAACTGTACGATTGAGACGGCTTTGCAAGAGAGAACTTGAGCGTGCGCGCGAAGGTAGAGGAATTAAATTCTAACTTTTCGAGAATTTTCGGACGTAACCAAGCATTCCAGACATTTCATACGGAAGGGGAAATGATGAGAGGCCAATGGAGACTCCACTCGAGCTGACTTTCTTGACATCTATCTAGGAAAGAGGAATGAAAATGATTCGAATGCCGGGCCTTTGTCGTATGGTAGTGGTTGTTTATAACTGCCTGATTTGGGCAGTTTAGTGTGAAGAGGCATAACCATCTGCTGCTTCTTGAGGACAAGTTGGACGGTTTTTCATGAACCCAGCGTTGGGTATCGACTCTTTGGGCTCATTTACTTTAGACAAATTACAGGATGTGTGACATGCGAGTAGGCAATTCCGTACGCAGCTCCTTGGGTAGGCAATAATAGAGGTGCATTGTGCTGCTGGATACCCACAAGGTCAAACACTGGAAGTATCAATCTTACTCTAGACAACCTCTGAGACCATAACAGCTACGCTGGTATATAATTTGACCAAGTCTAACACGTCCTAGATTAATGATCAGGGCAAAACTAGAGAAACATACTTCATCCAAAATTGTTCTGAACACGATATAAGCAAGAACCATCTTACATTCATCAAAGTGGCCCTCGTACCGCATTTGAAACTACGACATGCAAAAGAGAGATTCGTCTATAGAATAACAGCGCTGCTAGGCTGCTGTGAGGTCTCTGCAATGAGAGCAAATGGCGCCACATACTTAGTACTGATCTGGCGCCGAGCTGTGATGATAATTGATCTAGAGAGTCCACGTCGACATGTCATCGTAGTCACCATCTTCCCCTACCCTCGCTAAGTTCCAACTGATATATTTTTTATCGCTCCAAATTTCGTCCCTTTTTCTTGACGGGTGATGCATCTCCCAGTCAATTATGTAACTTGCAGAATCACGGAGTCAGTCGAATTACATGTATATTGTTCGGCCGCTTCGAGAACCCTCCGAATACACAGTTGCAGAGAGACTTACCACTTTTGCCTTTCCGCGTCCCAGCGAAGATTCTGAGATCCACTGTCACGGTTCACTATTCCGCATGCAGTACATTCCCTGTGGAAAAGAAAGCTATAAGACTAGGCCTTACTTCGAGAATGCCAAGCAGTAACTCACAGAAATGATGCCTTAAATGCGGCCCTCAGCTCATCTCGTTCTTTCCGGTCCAGTATGTCAAAGTTTAGGGAGACATCAACACCCGGTACCATCTCCATCATAATAAAATGAATGAATCCACCCGGGACCCATTCATCCTGAGTTTGCTGCCTCTTCATCCAGTCGATCAGATGTGGGGTACTAGAGCAACCTGCTTTCGTTAAGAGGGTCAGTGCTTCGACTTCCCTCGTGCCCCTTGTGGGGGTCTCAGAGACAGCCTGCTGCGCCCGAATGAGTGGCTTTTTGGTGGCGCTTCCCCACCACGGTATCCTATATCGATTGACATCAATTTTATTCTTACCTAATAAACGAGACGAAAGCAAGTACATACTGCATATGAACCTTGAGTACTGCCGTCGTTGGAGCCGCCCCAGGCCCTCTGGAAGCAACAAAAACCGCACGAGCCTCGGAGATAGCTACATCGTCTTCATGATCTCTTTGGGAGTATATGTCCTCGCTCTCCTTGATCTTCTTTGTGAGTCTCCAGGTGGAGCCGGCCGGGAAAGAGAGTTCTGAGCCCAACCAATCATCGTCATCAAACCAAATGATGTTGGAGGGAATTATCATGATGGGTCAAATCTAAGATTTCGGGGGAGGTTATTCACTGCCCTTGCAGGTTGTCGAGGGGTGAAATTGAAGTGTGTAAGAGGGGAGAGCGGGGGGAGGCGCTTACATACACCACTGAACGAGCAAGTTTACGTGGTCAACATGTACAGGAAGCGGCTCTAGCAAACATAATCTTTTCAATGGCATAGCCACGTCATCATCTACGCAGTCAGCTACTCTTGGAAGAGCATCTCCCTTCCTCAATCCAGCCACTTCGGTACCATCTCCAATCGGTTGGTCAGTGTTCTTGTGAGCTTCTGGAAAGAAACCTCGCTGGTCGTGAGAAAGCGGTGCGCGTATATGCTAAAGAGCATCTCACTAAATTTCATCGGTTACATTAGGCATTTTCAGTTCAAACGATTACTCAGTGCTCTATTCTATTAGACAAACAGAGGCGTGGCAGAACTGTAAATGGTCTGATAGAATACGTCGGTATAGTACGGATAGCGTAGCCAATATTACCATAGGCGAGCTAAGGCATACCACATACTTTGATGCACAGAAAGACGACTACAAAATAACTTCGAAATAAGACAATAAGGAAGTGATTTAGCTAAGGGAATCTGAAAGGGCACAAAAAAGGGAAAGAGAAAGAAACAGCTGTAGACTGTGTGGTTAGACAATGAAATCATTCCTCAGGAGGATTTCATAATATCCATGTCGACATATCATCGAAGTCGGCGAAATTGGGTGCTTGTGCCAGATTCCACGCTAGATAGTTCCTATCCCGCCAGGTCACAAATTTGCTACTGGGCGTATCAAAATGCTCGAAATCGATCAGATAACTGAATAAAGCAAGACTTCAGTGCCTGTTCCACAAGTTCCAAGGAAGTGCGGCAACTCCAAAAATTATGTGAGCGGGAAGTCGGTTACTAACCATTTATGCTGTTCCCTATCCCAGAGTAGGTTCTGTAAGCCAATGTCGTCATGTTCCACGCCACACGACATGCATTCACTGCAAATTGACCAGAGTTAGATCATCTGCTTTCAAGGAATGATTAGTGGATTGGAAACCTACATCCAGGCCTTCTTGAATGCGCTGCGCAAATGATCACGCTCCCGGCGTTCCATACTGTTAAAGATCGAAGAAACGTTTACCCCTGGCAGTAGCTCCATTGCAATGAAATGGATATAACCACCAGGGACCCATCCACTACCATTCTGCCTTCGGTACGTCCAATTAATCAGATACGGTGCGCTAGAACACCTGGCTTTCGTCAGAATAGAAAGAGCCGCAACCTCGCTGCTACCTCTGTAAGGGATCCCAGGATCTGCCTGTTTAGCCCGAACAGATGGCTGCTTGGTGACTGTTTCCCAGCACGGAATCCTGCATTCATGATTTGGAATAAAGCCATTTGTATATTGCGTGTCGGACGGACATACTGCATGTGGATCTTGATAGCTGCAGTAGATGGGCCATTCCCGGCAACTTTGTAGGCTACAAATGTAGCTTGTGCCTGTGACGTAAACTTATAAAGCTCACTTGTTTCTTGAGTGTACAGGTCTTCGCTTTCTTTGATCTTTCTTTCTAACTGCCAAGTAGAACCGGCCGGAAAAGCAAGTTTCAGGCCGATGTAGCCGTCATTGTCAAACCAAGTGAGGTTTGAGGGAATCTTCATGACTGTCGAAAGTTTTGTGACAAACGAGGTGGATAGAGAAGCGTGAAGAAAACGAATCAAGCAGTTGTTTTGCGGTCGTGGAAATGGCAGGTGAAAAGGTTGGCGACTCACGAGGGAAAAGAAAGTAGGGGGCGGTGGTAAAGAGTAGATAGCGGCAAGGACGTAATGTTCAGCGGTTAATAACCCCGGTCAGCTGATTGCGAGCGCAGCGGGCGCCTATTAAGATTTATCAGTGCGGTATGTCTGCAGTTTTGGTCTCGTGTATGAACTCAAATCAGTAAGTTATTGACAGTCTTGTTTCGTTCATTGAAGCTTTGTCCCGTGTAATAGGTTTTTTACCTGATATTTTATGAAATCAACGCTTGTGGGATCGAACAGCCCTACTTAGAACTCCTACTTCAGCAATTCCACATGAATATAACTTGTGCTGTGCATAATTCCATATTCCTAGAACCTTTTACTACTCCCATCCGTGATACTATATACAGGGGAATTCTAAATATCGATCTTGAATTGAAGTAATGGCGTATATGACATGTGCGAATGCATCTTGATCTCCTGTGGAAGGCCAGTGGCACTCCTGTCAAGGCAAGAGAAACGCTCCAGTGGGGGATGCCAGGAGATGTGCCAATAACTCTACTCTTAAGACAATGGGTTATTATCATAAAGAGTCAAGCAGATATATATCCTCGATCACCTGATTTTCTCTCACCCATCCTTGACCAACTTCTAGCGAATTTACTTAAGCTGTTGGCAGATCTCCCAGTAGAGTGCTGAATTTTTGAGCCTGCTTCATAATATTAAAAAAGTGCACACTACTCATACACCCAGCATGTTAGCTCAGGGGAAGAGCGCCGGGCTCATAACCCGGAGGTCCCTGGATCGAAACCAGGACATGCTATCTGATTTCTTTTTCTCTTTTTCTTTCTCTAGCTCTTTACCTTTCGCCAAGATCTATTCATATTTTATTTGCAATTTTTAGGAAACTTTTATTTTGTCTTCTTCTTTAGCTACAATATTTGGAGTCCATATTACCGCGCCGTTTTGTCGGTCGCAAGTATTTCCACCCACAGAGTACACCGTCTCTAGCTTGAATGGAACAACATAACACCTCATCAGCCGATCCTCGGCCTATGGCACTCTAGTGCACTGGAATAAGTTGGATTATTAGGGAATTCTGAAGGAACCATGGTGTCTCGAATCCCACGAGGAGTTCTCTTACAGGTCATTAAATGAGGGTATTCCAGTTAATCTTCTGTCTACCATCGAATTACTACTCTATTACACCTAGTTTGGTTGTATTAGCAGTATCAGCGTTACATGAGTTGTCTAGGCATGGATATATGGGTGGTTTGCAGGTAAATTATTTGGTCGACTGCGACAACGGGATAGATCCGGTTGGTTTAAAGAGTAGTATATCAGCGCCGTCCGCGTAGTATTTTGGACGACATGTTGTGATTATCCATTACTGCATGGAGATAACTACCCGATGTTCCATTCAATGAATGGTTGGGGGGCTGAGAAGAGAATTGACTTGTTCCATTAAGTAGACTGTACTTCAAGCTAGAGACGGCATATGACATTGCAGATTATTCCTAACACTATTATGACCTGCATCCTAGAGCCTCCACAATCCTCACAAGACAAAACCATTCTCTGCCATAGCCCAGTATTTATTGTCGAGCAGATTTTTGATATCTGAGTACGCACAAGCCCACAGGAGCATGATTGTCGCTGATCGATTCAGTAGATGAAGCCCGCCCCATCAACCCATCTGTCACGTCTCAGCTCAGACAGTGATACACTTGACGCGAATGTCCATGTTCAGTCCTTCAAACTTCGACTCTTCCGACATGGTATGAAGAATGGTGGAAAAGGTAGTGGATCTCTGTTCTGCGGTGGTCTCCTCAGTGGCACTCAACTATCACATCCATACTGTCAGCCTTGAATGTTCTCATGGGTAGTGGGTGTGTAACTAACGAGGAATTCCAGGGAATAGCGGCCTTCTCCGGAATTATCTTTGAGTTTGAGCTCAACGGCGAGGGCCTTGGGAAGCTTATGGTATCTTTCTTCCATCTTAGCGAGGACACTCATGTAGAATTCTTTCAGAGTGTCGATGGAGATGGGGACAGCGCCAAACTCTGTCTTGGTGTTAGTATGATCGCGCCTTTGGAGGAGGTTATGGTACATACGGCCAGTCTCTTCGTGGTGTTCTTCGCTACTAGTCATTATTGCTTAGGAAAAAGTATTATTGGTGATAGGATTGTTGTGGGTTTGATGTATGAGGGGAAAAGTGTAAAGAGGTGATGGAGTTGTGATGGATGGTGTTGACGAGGAGTTCTGGGATGAGGGGGGTAAACAAGGATTACTAGTTGGGCTAGTGGCCAAGAGGTGAAAGTGAATGCAGCAAAGTTCTAGACTCCAGACTTCTGGCCTTTTGAACTTTTCCTGTCGGCTCACTCCGTTTGTGTTACTGATAATTGATACGATGCGACGTGTTGCCTTCTTAGTCATTACTGGTTACAAACGGCCTCTGACCAGGCAGAAGTCAGCTACTTAAGCGTTTCTAGCCATACCTATGCTTTTTCCAGGAGGGATATGATTCACTGACTTACATTTATGTACAGTAGGCTTGAAGCCGAGATAGTCCCTATGCTAAGCTTTGTGGATTCCAGCAGCCAACTGTGGTAGGTTGCATGGCCGGGCGAGGTCTCCATTCTTACTTGTTACTGTTCAGCAAGAAAAAAAGAAGAAGAAGAAGCGAAACGAAAATAATAAAGGAAAATTCTTATACCAAGAGTGCCACCGGCTATATTTGGGGGAAACGGCAGGAGACTCGGAGTACTGTTATGATTGTGAGTCTGGTGTAGTGACATATACTAGTAGTACTTCGGCTGGCCATTATATATTTGGACAGACCCAGTACTAGCACCGTCATGACGATACTACTAACCTTAACCTTGACCCAACATAATCTTCATTACGACATGCCTAGTAGTCACAAAACCAAACACCGAGCTGTGAGGAACATACTCATATTATTCTGAATAGCAAGTATACCACTGCCACACATTGTTGTGTATAGTGAGGATTTCCGAACTCTTTATCATGTTCTGACTGGTGATAATATGTTCAGGTCTATAATGCAAAAGCTTTGCTCTATTAGCATCAAAAGCGGCCGGGTGGCGCAATGGTAGCGCGCTGCCTTCCGGTAGTGGATGTGGCAGTGGTTGCGTGTTCGAGTCACGTCTCGGTCGTTCTTTTTTTTCTTTTTCTTCCTATAACTTTTTCATAGCAACCCACAAACACTACTTCCACATTTCCCCAATGTTGCTTTTTCGACATAATCTATTTATCTAGCCACTATCCATTCACCCGAGGTAAGAGATTGTCGTGTGTATTAAATGAAGGCTTTATTTCTGTCAGCCAGGACGACGCGTATGCCTCGCCATGTGTTTATCAAAATCTTCCACTGGGGTTCTGCCTTGTTCCTGCCAATCCCTCGCGTTGGCCTTTATCTTGATGTACCCACGAAACACAGCATGGGAGACACCTGGTGCAAAGCAAGGAGCCAAGTTGATGCCTGTGGGTTGACGTGGGGCTGTCCCTTCAATCATATACTCTGAATAATCCGGCTAGACAAGTAGGGCCACCTGGCCTATCGTCGCGTGGGAAGGCAGAGCATGAGGAGCTCATCGCTCGTTTATACATTTATAAGGGAAGAACTTTGGGCCTTATAGTGCCTACAGAGACTAATGCCAATTGAGATGATGAAGCACTTGGGCTGAAGATTACCCGGGGTACCAGTGATGGTCATAAGTAAACTCTTCCGGATTCCGACAGCATTGGGCGTCTTGAAGATGACGAAATAGAAAGTTTGAGAAACAATGATATGGCATAATAAAGGCATTCAAAGGAAGGGTGGACGTTGCGTCCAGGAGATGGCTGGTGCTACCACTGGTTCTGCCGATTAGAACCTTCCGGGATCTGGAGACACTGGGCGCTTGGAAGACGATATCATTGGAGATCACGAGAATACCAAAGGACAGGATATAAGGCTCTAGAAGCTGTAAATAAGCATATACGACCATAGGGTGTGGAAAACAGGGCTTCCCGTCCGCTCAGCCGTACTTAAGCCACACGCCGGGAGGTTAGTAGTTGGGTGGGTGACCACCAGCGAATCCCTTCTGTTGTATGTTTTTGCTTCCTCTTCTTTTTGTCTTAACCACTCTTTTTAACTCGTCGCTGGTAGCAGAATGGAAACAGGAAAATCCATAAAGTAGTTGGTGGATGGGACGAAGCGATAGTATGGTTGTTGGCCGGGTCGTGTGGATCTATAGGTGAGCAACCAACCCAAAGATGAACGTCAGCGTCATGAATGACTTCCTGAATACTCACGAGAGAGACTTACAAGTATGCTATGCATATCAGAGTACATGAAGAGCAGATTCAGTCATCCCCACTCTGACCCAAAAACTCAGGAAGTCGCGCAAAGACATCCTCCCACTTCTCTTTACCGCTAATGAGACACTCGATAGCACCGAAAACTTCCTCTTGAGAGGCCCGAACTTGCTTTGTACTATCGCGTTCACGCAGCGTGATTGTTCCATTCTTCACGGAGTCGAAATCGATCGTGACACCGAGCGGAATGCCCAATTCGTCATTCCGAGCATACCTCTTTCCTATACTTGCGGAGGACTCATCAGCTCGACAGGATATTCCCAGTCCACGAAGATCCTCTGCGAATTTCTTTGTAAGGGGAACGAAGTCTTGATGAGTGGAGAGCGGGACGATGAGAACTTTTGTGGGTGCCACCGAGATGGGAAGGGATAGAACCTGATATAACACATTAGTTCATATAGATTAAACTGGACGGAGATAGTCCAGCAGAAGTTAGAAGCAGGAGTTACAGACACCACGCGCAGGATCGTTAGCCCGATGCCAGTAGACATGCTCCAGTAGACTGTAGAAAATTCGGCCGATACCGAAGGATGGCTCAATAACATTGGGAATGTATTCACGGATGTTCTCAATTCTCGTCCTTTTGACGATACTAATCAAGTTTTTGAAAATCTCAACCTGCTCTGCCATTTCGGGGACCGTGACAGAAACGATACCATTTTCTTCTAAGGTCGTAGCTAGAGATTCCCGCTCAGACTGGGAGAGCGAGCTGAGCGCCGCTTCAACAGCCTTAGCGTTCTTCTTGAAGAGTGGTCCCAGCTTGGGCTTGTTGATGTCAATTTGCCATTCTTCAACTTTTAGTGGCTCACGCCGGGATTCACGGACGACAAGTGGCTCTTCAGTTTTCTTAGAATGAACGGTCAGATCGTAGGCGCTGCGATCCGCACATCCGACACATTCAATCCAACCATAGGTGGTCTGGAGCTCGGCGTCCCAGCAGTCAGTAGCATAATGGGCCATCTCGTTTGCCATGTGTTGGCGGAATCGGACTTTATTCGCGTCGACGCCGATCTTGAGCAGGAAGAGATAGATGCGGCCTAGGAAGTATCCCAGTGTTTCATTGTCTACCATTCTACTGGTCACTGCCTCTCCGATCGTGGTTTTGTGGAGACTGGTCTTACCGCCCAGCTGGGTTGCGCGATCGAGGAAGCTGAGCTGTAGATCTTTGACCAAGTCAAATTTGGGATGCCTCTTGCCGCCTTCTGGATCGACAAAATGCTCTATCTCAGCCATCAAAAATTCTCTGACGCGGAGGAGGCCAGAACGAGGGGAAATTTCATTGCGGAACGATTTTCCGATGGAGGCAGACGCAAATGGCATCGAGTTCTGGTTGTAGTCCAGAAGTTTCTTGAAGTTTAGGAACTGGCCTTGGGCTGTCTCTGGTCGGAGGTATCCCGGGGAAGCACTGCTGGGACCCACTGTTGTCTTGAACATCAAGTTGAAGGGAACCGGTGGCGAAACCGGTGTGTCCCCATCCGGGTTTCGAATGTCATACTTCTCGATCAATTGGCCGAGCTCGGGTCCATCGTAATTATCAATCTAGGAAGTCCACGATAAGCATTGAATGTGAGTGGCAAGGGCTTCTCCATGCATATATACCTTGGCAAGCACTTCCTCGTATTCTGCCACAACAGAGTCCTCCTGTTTCATCGCCTTGATGTCGCTCACTTTGGGACCCTTCTTCTTCTTTTTGCCTGCGCTATCGGCCTTATCACCCTCACCAGCAATTCCTCTAGCTGCTTTATCTCCTTTTAGTCTTGCCCCAAGGACAGCCTCGATGAGGTGGTCGGCACGTAAGAAGTCCCCCTTTTTTCGTATCTTTGCACATCCAATCCTCGAACTTATCCACGTGGCCACTGGTTTTGAAGATTTCTTCTGGTGTTAGAATTGTACAATCAAGTTCTAGCATATCCTCCTGAAGAACGAAGTGTTTCCGCCATAAGTCCACAATGTTCGACTGGAGCGCACACCCGGGGGGTCCATAATCGTAAAGGCCTCTGCTGTCGCCTTTAAGGTTTCCGGAAGTTCGGTATATTTCAAACGATTCGGTATAGAAAAGTCGGCGCTTCAATAGCGACTCAAAGAGTGTACGGTCGAAAGGATCGCCGTTACGGGTAGTGAGCTCAGCCATGGTGAAGACTTGGGACGGGGTGTGGGTGGATGGAGGAAGTAACCCCTCCAAGTGAAACGATGACTCGACGCAATAAAATGCCCGCCATCAGACAGGGATTCAGGTGATGTGAGTTGTCATTGGGCCAAACGCCGAAAGCGAAGGCCTTCACGCATGGCGGTCCGAGCGTCATGCGGCTGCGATTGCGGCTGCGGCTGTTTAGTATGACTCAGTACCTGGCCATTAGGAATGATAACTGTATGAATTGAAATATATATACTCGTTGGCATAATGATTGTATAGCGATAATGGTAGGACCGCACCACCCGGAATTCAATAGCATACCAACCAAGCATCGGATAGACAGAATATATAGTTCTTGATCCAAAGAAAGCATTCATGTATCTAAGCTGCCCCGATGAGGGGTCTAATCTTATAAGTAAAATATAAATGGTAAAGATATCTTTCTAGTGGAATTTATCGTCTATCTTGAAGAGCCGCATTTTCCCACCAGTCCAACGGGATCCTCTGCGGCAACATTACGCCATACAAGACATCTAAATCAACTTTGATGGCACCAGAAAGACGGTGCCAGTTGGCAGAGATTCAGGTGATGCCATGTAATGGTCATACTGGACACTTTGCTTTCTTCTACCTACAGTTCCCATCATGAGAGGTGCCGTATATCGAGAGCTAAGTATACTTTAGATTTAGGACAATGCGACAGAGGTGTTGGGGATCTCCGAAGAATCCGGTGCGACATTGATAATCATCATTAACGCCCTCGGTATTCCTGTCCGAGCCCTCCTCGGATACTTGGCCGATCGCTACATTGGTCCGCTTAACTGCCTCATTCCTTGCGTGGCCCTTTGTGGCATTCTGATATTTTTCTGGGCCGCCGTGCATACCACAGTCGAGCTGTACGTCTTCGCGGTGTTCTATGGACTAGCATCGGCAGCAGCGATGGCCTTGTTTGTTGGGACAGTGCCCTCGTTGACGAAAGACCTTGATAAGATTGGCACGCGAGTTGGCATGGCCCTGACCATTATGAGCTTTGGCCCGTTGACTGGGCCCTCTGTGGCGGGGACATTGATAGCGCGCACCGGTGGGGAGTACCTGGCTGCGCAGATGTGGGCAGGAGCCGCGTTGATCGTGGCGGTCCTCGCTCTGGTCGCAGCACGACTGATCATTTCGGGACCACGTGTTCGGGCAAAGCTTTGAGGACGTGGATGGGAGTAATAGATCACTTAGCCAAAGAATAGGTTGCTGTGCTGGTTTGGTATCCAGACTGTCTACTGCGCGGAAGAGCGGCGATAAAACTAGAAGACAACTATGATTCTAACCAGCGCATAAAGGGTGTATTGTAGGCGAAGACTTGGACCTACGCGTCTGTCTCTATTCCAAAATACAGAGCAACGTCCAAAAGACCTGATCCCTCGATGCCGATCCAGTAATCAACAAATCCTTCTTCTTTAGCTTGGGCGACGCGTTCCGCATCCCAAGCTTCTTCCAAAGGTCGCTCGATATAAATTGTCTGGAACCCGCACCTTTTGGCGGCTTGCAGGTCGTGAAGATGGGCAGCGACAAGGCAACACTGCGAGGTCTCTAACCCGAACCTGCGCGCAGCGGCATGATAGACTTCTGGCGCTGGCTTGTAAGCATTGAAGTGCTCTGCACTGCTTATATGCTTGAAAGGCAAAGAACCGTGCTCCACTAGATCTTCGAGAAGTTTGACATTACCGTTGGACAACGTGGAAGTCGGAAACTTGGTGTTGAGCAGCGCAAGGCCTTGAACACTGTCCGCGTACGGATCGAGGCGATGCCAACAGAGAGTCAAGTGCTGGAGATCGTCGTCATTGAAAAGATCCCGCAGACGCCTGTCGGTGAAGATATTGCTTAGAGAGACGCGGTTGTGTTCGTCTACAGATACAAAGGGCTTGGATGGATCAAAGCTGCGTCCGAAGTTCATATACGAGCGGTGCCACTCGTCTGTGATTTCATTCCATGTTGAGGGCGCTAGGTCGGAGACACGGCCTCGCACATCCACAGCAATCTCAGCCTGGTCTTGCAGGGCCCTTTCTGCTGCAGCCTTCAGCTGGTTCGCAATGCAGAATCTCCATTCAACGACTGTGCCCAAGACGTCGAAAAATAGCATCGAGGGAGTGCCAGGTCGAGACATCTTGATCAGGGTTTCTTCGGGATGGCACAGGATGAGAATTACCGTCGGATGTATCTCAGAATGTGCTGAGTATCTTCTCCCGTCGTTGGGGGGAACACCATCGCAGGGTGATTTTGGAGAAAGACAGACGCTCGTCGTCCAGGTTAGGAGAAAAATTACCCCTTCACTTGATCTCGGCACCCATTGGACTTGCATGTGGCTGGGAGGGGTCAATTGGCGTCATTCGCACATGCGGATTGACCTTTTTCTGCTGCGGGATCCCCCGATGTTACCAGCGGGTTACCGGAACAGGATCACCGCGAGCCCGTTCTCACCCGATCTCTCTGGAGAATGGATGCGCCATTTCTCAGTCTATTCAGGGCTCCATGCGATAAACTATGCCTACGACATCTGTATTGTAAGTCATCGCTGGTACCTTTCCACGTCTGGGAATGGCTGTTGGTTTGCTCCTTCTGTTGGGTCTACATAGCGCAAGACACCCCTAATTGATGCATGAAATAGTTGCACACCCGTAGCTCTATGCTTATCCACAATTCGTCGATTCGTCAGCCCAGATTCTGACGCCGCGGCGGGAGGCCAAACAAGCTCACCACCACAAGGCTTGGCTGTTCCCTCCGTCAGACGAATGAGAGAAACACTAGAGGGCTACATCGGTCGTGGAAGACTGCGTAGGGTAGCATGAGTTCGTGCGTCACCTCCCTTTATCTTCGCTATCTAACCGTGTCATGAATCACCGCTGAGCGAAACCTGCGCCAACTTGACGTATTTATCTGCCTCACTGAGGGCCCCTACTTGTCTTTTATTTGGCCGATTGCGATATCGAGACTTGATTATATTGATTTGCCTCTGGAAATCCATTATCTGCAACGCCGCAAGGCTGCCGAGCAGGTGTAGCTTCTCACGTCGGTTGACGCGATACGTGGCAACCGAAACATTGTCCGGAATCGGACAGGGGACAGGCTCACTTCCCTGCTGCGAGGAGCCTGTATCGCTCAGACTATCCTGAAGCATCGCCTTGCAACAGTTGGCTATCCTGCCGCAGATGACCCCGATTGGTCTAGCCGCCATGGCAAGCAGCATGTTCTGCTCTACTCGAGTCGCACATCTGTCGCATGAGATGAAAACAGCCAGAGTCTCAATCGAGTTGCGCAGGTCAGCGAGGAGCAGGTCAAGGCGGTCCTCGCGCGAAGAGCTTTTGGACGACAGCCGTTCGAGAAAGGAGACGGACTATAACAGACAACAGTTGTCGGACTCTGTACGTGTCTCGTCCAAGGGTTCAACAGGCAGCGTTTCGGATATCGAGCCCATCGTCGCATGTACATCGGTAGTCGTCGTCCAAACAATATCGTCTTGACTCAAGTGAACACCTTACCAACATTCGGCATCACCTGTGCTGCTGCTATCCGACGGCCCGAGTAGCGACGCAAACGATGAATCGGCCGTTGGAATTCCTGGGAGCCGGTCCTGCGCCGCCTCTGTAGCACTGCGCCTCCTTGCTGAAAAGGGAGGCCTCGTTACTGCCAGGTCAGCGGCAGCTATCGTCTATGTCAGCCAAGGACGCCTAGAGCACACAGAAACCAAAGGGCTCACGGGTTTGGATGCCGCCACTGCTTGATTTGGATCTACTAGGTGAGCTTTGCTGCATGTGAGTATCCATGATCCATGGCATAAACAGCGACTCGTCGATGCAGCCATCGTTGAACTTATTGCAGTCCAAATCATCCAATGATAGGACTTGGCTGGATTATCCCTGGTTGTCTGTTTCATCGAATATAGTCTGAATGGAGACGCTGTTGTTACGCCGAAGGGCCTGGTCCGATGTAGTGCATTACCGACTCCTGTAGTTAAGTACAGTACATCAAGCTGTTCGGTCACGTACTGCCCGCGAGCCTTTGTTGGTGTCCTGTCGCTTGTTTCGCCCGTGACTCTCCGGATAAATACACTCCAATCATATGGCCTCGCATCTCTGGCATTAGGAGGGTTTAACTTCGTGTATGGCAGCGGCGAGCAGACAGATCTGACATCCTGCATAAATAAAGGTCAACGACGCCCCGCCCAATCCACCTCCTTACAGATGATCAGAATTCATTTTATGTATCTGGAGTAAGATAAATAAGTCAAGAAAGGCAAAAACATACAACAGAAGGGATTCGCTGGTGGTCACCCACCCAACTACTAACCTCCCGGCGTGTGGCTTGAGTACGGCTGAGCGGACGGGAAGCCCTATTTTCCACACCCTATGGTCGTATGTACTTATCATTCAGTTGATGTGTCTAATATAACTTGCATGGTTTATTCAAAAAGGGTTTCTAGTTGTCGCCCACCCTCTATGCTCTTGAGGAAGGACAAAATCCTATCTCGAGTACATAAAAGTCATGCAATCCTACTATCATCAATATATTTGATGCACCCTCCTTTGCTTACTCATAGAG